ATAGATAGATAGATAGATAGATAGATAGATAGATAGATAGACAGACAGAGAGACAGACAGACAGACGGACAGACGGACAGACGCATAGATAGACGGATAGATGGAAAGACTGACCCATCTAAGGACAGCAGACCTAGATGCAGTCCTGCATTTATGATGCAGTTCGAGAAAGTGTGTGGTTGTGTATCCACATGATACTACAGCTGCATTATTGGCTCTGGGCTTGCTGTTCTCCTCTGTCCTGGGAGGAAGAGTAGCCAAGCAAGCCATACTATAAATAGTCCCACCTCACCCCAGACTGTGCATTAAGCAAGAAAAATGATGGCACACATGCAAACACACTGCAAACTGAATTAGGAAACAACGGAGCAGCTGTTTTTTGGCCTGGGCATGGTGCAGCAGCAATATAACCAATTAACAGTCTGTCTGTCCAAATTACAGAGCTGTGAGAAAACGCAGAGATCCAAAGTGCCATTAAACCATGTGTGTTAACTCAAGTGCTTGAACTTACTCAACATAGTAGGTTCCATAAACAGGGTCATCGATTTTCTCCCAGCCATAAGGAAGCTCTGAAAAACAAACAATAAACAATTACATCCACAAAACCATTTCATTCAAAGGTAGATGTTGCAGTTATAATGTAAAACATTTTGTTTTATTAGGATATACTGTATATCGGCTCATTCTCTGGAAATATGTATCGGCCATTTGTGGGTTTTGTGTGTCTCCGTGACTTACTGATGTAATTAATGGGACACGGAACGTAACATTATTTGAAAGATTTAGCGTGCGATTGCACAATAACTTTTAAAATAAAGCAATCATTTTACTCTTACATGTTTTTCACAGTCGTTCACAATAGCATTCAATTTCCCATTCATCACTATGACATTTTAATGGGTTGTACAGAATAAAATGTTTTCCTTTTATTGAAAATAAAATGTTTTCATTGTCTGTACTTTTTTTTTCAAAAAGACGTTTCTGAAAATTGCAGAATTTACCTTTGTCCTTGCACTTTCTGTTCAACTCCATTATGCTGTGACATTCCTGACTTTACAGTTTTTCTCAATTGCTTTGGCTCAATTCTCAAATTAAACTTTTTTTCCCCAAAACAATAAGTTCAGATCTCTGAACAATTAGCTTCTTGTTCACATCAGATTGGAATTTCTTATTGATTTGAGCAAATTGCAAATGCTTTGGCACATTACAAACAATAAGTACAATTGTCTGCAGTTTGCACAACAACTAATTGCATATGGCTTGTTGATCAAAACTGATGGGCCGATTCTCACTTAAACTGTCAAACTCTTCACGACTTCTCAAACATTTTTCATCGTGTAAGCCATCACATTCAAAACGATCCATTCAATTATGAAAAATTGGTATACACGCATGTATATTCCATAAATATCTGACATTGACATTGTTTGTAATGTCTGCTAAATTGGCAAATGACCTCTAATTGCAATACAATTTGAATCAACCATTCAACCATTTAACCAATCAAGTTTGGGAGCATATATATGTAGATTGCCCACAGCACAATCATTAAGAATGGAGGACTTCCACAACCCTGAACTGCAGCAACATGCTCGTGGAAGAGCAATTGGAAGATGTGTAAGAATACGTGGTGGTGGTGGTGTTAGAGGAAGACATAATAGAGGAAGAGGTGGAAAAACAACAATATTGTAACTGTACATGCAAGTCTATTTGTACATTCTATAGAACCACACAACAACCTCGCGCTGGTGGCAGAGCAGCAGTATTTAACCATCAGCAAGAACAAGAAATTTGCAACATGGTCATAGCCAACAATTCCATCAGGCTAAGAGAGATCCAAAGTGCAATCATAAATGACAATAATGTCTTCGCAAATATAAATTCTGTCAGCATTTCCACCATAGACAGAGTTTTGAAAAGACATCAAATGACTATGAAACAACTCTACAAGGTGCCATTTGAGAGGAATAGTGAAAGAGTGAAGGAGCTGCGGTACCAGTATGTCCAGGTAAACTATTGGTGTGCACTTAGTTTTACTGTACTTCTAAGATGCCTGTATTACTTGAAGTTTTAGAAACCCATAAGAAGAGATAACATTTACTGAACTCTAGAATAAAAATTAACTATTTTGTTTCTGTGTTTCTTCGTAGAGAATCATGGAAATAGAAGGACATGAAACAACCCACATTCTTGTTTTTGTGGACGAGGCCGGGTTCAATCTGTCCAAAGGCCGGAGACGTGGTCGCAATCTCATTGGACACCGAGCCACAACTGACACACCAGGCCAACGTGGGGCCAATATTACAATGTGTGCTGCCATTTCAGAGAATGGTGTGAGCACACATATTCCACACATTGGGCCCTATAATACCCAACTTCTCCTGGCCTTCCTAAACGCACTTTACAGAGACCTGATTCCAGAACAAGAAAGAGGTTTAGTTAGACCACATTTGCCTAATTATGTTGTTGTCTGGGATAATGTCAGCTTCCACCGAACCAACATTGTTAGGGACTGGTTTGCTGCACATGAAAGGATAACAGTGGATAACAGTTCCTTCCACCATACTCTCCATTCCTAAATCCAATAGAAGAGT